TTTATGATGACTCTATAAAATATTTCATACCTATAAGTATGTATACGTTTTCAAATGATCCCAAGGAAAAGCCACTAATTATGACTAGCGCGAGAAATCAATAATAATCGTGTAGCTAACAATAATAAATGAATTAATAGTCACGGCTTTAATATTATTTTTAGAAGTGGGTACTAGCCTACAAAAGCTCCGCCCCAAAATAATAATAATATTATTATTATTATTCAAACGCAAGAATCTGCAACTAGAAATTACGAGAACGTGACATTTAAACGCAACCATTATTTGAGTACTTATACAAGCCCTTGGAAAGATTATGAAAATATGGCTAGAAACATAAAGAAAATGCCAGGAAATTCGCCATTAGGAAAATTAGAAAACAGTCTATTAACGAGCGCAGCTTACATAATAAGGAAAAAAATATTCAGTCAGTTTTTAAGAAAAAAAAATTATATATGCATATATATATATATATATATATATATATATATATATATATATATATATATATATATATATAATAAGTGAGAATCCTTGAAAGTGCGCTGCAGTAATGAGGAGACTGTCACCCTACTGGTGTAAACATCAGTAAATATGCTAAAAAAATAAAATTATACTAAAAAAAAAAAAAATAAATTTACATATAAAAATAATTATCATTACAGTAAATTAAAATAGTTATAATAATGAATTTATTATTATTATTATTATTATTATTATTGTTGTGTTGTTGTTGGTCAGCGGGAGAGCAACACACCAGTAAACTGATGCTGGTGTACAAACATACGAAGTACAATATATAAACTATAGCCCAAAATATTTAGTCTGATAAGAATATACCAAACACATGTATTACAGCAAAATTGTACGACATGATGACAGGTTTTGATAAAAACAGCGCAAAACGTTGCAGATTAGGCACAGTTAGAAAGAGATACAGTTCGTGTAACCCATTGCTTGTAACTACTTATAGTTCATTATTACTTTTTTGTGATAGTCTTTAATAGAGGCATTTTTATCTAATGCCACTATCATATATGAAGGAGGTAAATTATTATTATTATTATTGGCCTGCATTTGTTTTATAATCACATGTTGGGTCATAACCAATTACATAGGGAAAACGAAGTATGGGATCTTGTTTCTACTTAATTAAAAAAAATGCAATTATTAACAAAAAGCTTAAATGAACAATACTCTTCGCAGGATATGGTCTGTGATTGTTAGAACTATTTTGGGGATTTCCTGGAGAGATGGCATACCAGGGATTTTGTTGATTAGTTGCTGAGTTCTTTTCTTTATCAGACCCAAAACACTTACTCTATCAGGAACAGTTTTAGTTTTTAAGTGTCACATTTGCTTTTGTATTTCTACCTCCAGGTCTGTTGTTGTATTAGCTTAATTTTACAAAAGACCTTCAGAGTTTTTTTCGCCTCTTGGTACGCTTTTGTCAATCAGTGTGCAAACTATGTCTTTTCTGTCTTTGATAATATCTGAGTGATTTCTTTGTATTTACTATCATTATTATTATTATCACCATTATTATTTGTTGAGTTTGCTTGTTTGTTTAACGAGCTGCCTGCAAGTTTCAACCTGAAATCTCAAGAGACTGCAACTCAACAGATAATTATTGTTAGAACAATTGGTTGAATGTATAGCTGGCATTCCCGCATCATTTTTCTTAATGTCATATGATAGTGTATATTAGTTTAAACTTTCATTAAATCGTGTATGTATATCCACAAGTACAATTTATGTACAGGTAAAATGTATACACAGATGAAATAGAAATTTCGAAAAAATATTAATTATGTCAGGTGTAAAAATCAGAAAACTCACGGAAGAATCTTTTAAAGATAAAGAAAAAAAAAAAAATTCAAAACGTTCTGTGAATATATGTGAATATGAATATTAATTCCAGTTCACCACCTGTCATATTAGAAAACTTTAGAAATTATTATTATTATTATTATTATTATTATTATTATTATTATTCATGTTAATTATTCATAATACTGTAGTTACAATAAGAACGATATAGGTAAAGATAATAATTATAATATTTGTACAGAAAATCGCTCTTGAAACCAGATGTGAACTTTTATCGGAAACATTAAATCAGTTTTACCTAGATATGTTGTGTTCCTTAGCGAACAAAAATGGTATTGTCGAAAAAAAGACTTCGCCCTGCGATACCGTGTTAATTTAGAAGAAAAAAAATGACTGAAAAGAAGAAAGTGATGGAAACATAAATGTGTAAGTTATTCTAATAACTTTATGGATAATGGGAACAAATCCAATTTTTTCAAGATCATAATATATTTGATGAGTTGAAAGGGCGAGTCAGAAATAAAATCTTGGCCTTAACAGAAATCTAGTTGGAATCAAGCCAATTCTGCAATTCTCTATTACTCACAAAATTAGCCATTCAGAAAAGGTCATTTTTTTTTTATTCATGTGAATTTTCCCAAAATGATAACCAAAATGCTTACAACAATGACAGACATTATTGATAATTGCGTGAAGTAATGACCGTAGCCGAATATTACGAATATTATCGTGATTTGGCAGGTAATAGAAATGAAAAACACGTTATTTATAATGCTTCTTCTAAGACCTTCTTTTGACTTTTCATTAACACTTTACAATATTTTGTAAAGATAATTAATACCCCAACAACAACAAATGTATAATTTTAAATACACGTACGTATATACATATATGTACAGATGCGTGTTCGACATCACTTAAGTACTTTATTCTTTATACTTATATCATCTTCTATATAATTTTATAAATATGAGTAAACTATAATGGTGTAATTTACGAAACATTTTAATCAGAAAAATACATCCTAAAGATTACAGGCGTGTTTAAAAAACTATTTTCTTATATTAACAGAAAGAGTGGCGTAATTTTTTTCGAATGAATGCGGCGATGACTGATTTGATAAAAGTATCTTCAATATTCGCGTCTTTTACTAAACTTGAAATTTAGCAAAATCCTTATAATTTATTTTTGAAATTAGCTGAAATATGACAATTTTATAAATGATTATTATTATTAATAATAATAATCATTTATAAAATAATCATTCAAAATTATATCAAATTATTTTTATTGGCAAAGAAATGACTAACATTGTTTTAAAAAATAAGGTTTTGAAAATATGGCCTTTGTATATTTATTATTATTATTAATAATTAATAATAATAATAATAATAATAATAATAATAAGATAAGACAGCATTTAACTGAGACAATAAATGCATAAACGTGTATGAAATTTGTATTAACACTAAAACGTGGCTTAAGTGATTCATTCTTGTATGTAAATGTAAGGTCTTGCTTAAGTTATTTTTTTTTTTTTGCCTTTGTGAAGTTTTTAACAGTTTTTATCCAAAAGTTTTTATTCCGATGTCATCTTTTATTCTATTTTGTATCGTTACTTCCTTTTTTTAATATTTGTCAACGGTACAAAGACAAAATAAAAAATGACGTGTATATGCGTGTATTGTTGTGTACGAATGCATGTGTGCGTGATTTGTATTACTTCATTCGTATTTGATTAATGTAAAGTACATGATCAGTCTGCCTTGGAATTTTTTTTCTTTTCGCGCAAAGCTATCTAAATCTGATAGTGTTCGTAAAGATCATTGTTGTAATCAATGTACGTGTACAAGAGTTTGAGCAGGTGTGAAATTAATCAAACATTCCTAGATAAGGTTTACCGAACAAGAAAAAGAAATTTAAATAACATTTTAATTGAGAATAATCGATCCTAATAATAAAGAGAATCGAACAAAATGTCGATGTGATTCGTTTAATATTGTGAAATAAAAATGTGATTATCTGTATTCAAACTTTTGTCTTCATTTATTTCTATATATTTTTTCTTCTCTTTCAGACTTAATTTTCAGATTTGTTCGATTATTTCATTGATTTTATATTAACTTGATTTCTTAGGAAAAGTGTACTGAAATAAAGAACTTTGTGATTCAATAATTTTTAATAAAGTTCACACAACGCAAGACTCTAGAGCCACTCATTGTAGAGAGTTACTAAATGATGTGTGTAATATGAATATAAAAGAAGATAGAATGAGGTGAATATTAGGAGGATTAAGAAAATCGTGAGCGATCCTTAACTTGAAAAGTTTAAAATTGTTTTCATCTCTCACAAGGCAGCGTAAAAGATTTTGTATTATTTCACGGCTGTAAAGAATAAGTTGAGCATCTCCAGTCCAAATAAGACAGCACTACTCCATTTACGGTCTGATCTTTTAAAGCTAATGTATGGCAGAAGTCAGATACTCCATAAAGCAATAGAACGAGCCGTCCATTTTTTCAGCTTCTTTAGGAAAGGATTGTATGTATGGGTTCATCTTGGGGTCTGGAGTGAACAACCCATTTGACGTCCAAAGCTTTGAACTTCGTTGAGGGTGCAACTGGGCATTGTAATGGAAGAAAGCTCCGGTTCTGATTAGTGTTCATGAAATAATACACGCTTAGTTTTACAGGTACTGAAAGTTACAAGCTATTTATTTAGTTCTTTTTTTATTTTATTTATTTTGACTATTGAGCTGTTAGAATGGAACCAATGGAGAGATCATATGTAAGGCTTGATATGTAACGTCTTGATTTTTAAAGGTACTTCCATAGACTTGAAAAGATTTGTTTATACTAACGCCAATCTTTACAAAGTAAACATTGGCACACAGACACGTTAAAGGAGCACGAATTTAGGATATAAGTTATTCATAACGGCTTAGATATTAGCTTGCTTAACAACGATTTGCCCCGGATAAGATCGATTTGCGAAATTCATTAATGTCGATAACTATTAAGCAAACATTTTTCTGACACATGGGCATATTATTATTATTATTACAGCAAGTGACCTCTAATAGGAATATATTAACCATCGCTTTATGAAGTACAGGTATTTATCTGTGCAGAAAATGTGAAATCAGCGTTCACACACATGCTGTTGGGAAAGGCTTACGGCCACATCAGTTGGAAATACTGGTACCCGTACGATCAACGAAGTTAAACAATATCGAGTCTGGTCAGTACCTCGATGGTTGACCGCTTCGAAATGCCTTGTGTGGATGTCGTAATGCATAATGGTTCGGAATTTTAAATCGGAGAACCGAGTTTCAAATCCAGTTGTGTTTGTTATATTCACTTAGGCTCAACTATCATTGGGAAATATATTAATCCATCTCTTCTCCCCACCCGACCAACTATAGATAAATTTGTAAGAATTGTATCACTAAGACCATTATTATCTTCAATTGCGTACAAAATATTTAGATTTCAACATTATATAATCCACAAAAAATTGATATACCGCTAAAGAAAAACAACTAACTAACAAAACCAACCAATCACCTCTTCTCCTTCCAGCTCTGAATTAAATGACAAGGAAAATGAAGTCTCTAGCATTGGATAGCAGCTAGTGAAGAGGAAATACTGCTCTGAATTGAAAACTGCGGAAAAATAAACGGAAAACAATTTCGTCTCTTTCCCAAGAAATCATGGCAATATAAACTTGTTCAATAAAATGAAGCTGTAGAGAGGGTCATCATCACCTACATCCTGAAGACAAATAGCATTAAATGGAATATCGCTTTACTGCAAGCATACATGATATTTTGTAAGGCTTAATAAATAAAACACAGAGCCAAATGGAGAGGAATCGAGATAGAACTGAAATACAAGTGAGGATCGAAATCACTACTCAGTGGTAATCTTCTACGAGAACAGCTTACTCCTCATTACACGACGGTGAGGTACCCACGAAGCAAAATAAATAAACAGCGTTTTATTGTTGATGATCTTGTTGTTATTGTAACCTCGATTAGATTAAGTGTCTGTGTTACCATAATCACTGGTGCAAGGGATAAGCAGTTCGGAATGAGGAATTGGAGGTCCCAGTTCGAATACCAGTCACAAATACCGTTGGTATGAATCCTCCCCAGTTATGGGTTAAATATTAGGTCCTGTATCTGGAAAATCAATTTTTATTCTCAGAAACTTGTCAATGCAATATTCCCTTTTCGGCTTTAGATAACACACAAAAAGGCTTCATAAGCCATAAGAAAATAAATCTAATCAATCAATCTCATAACCGTCAGAACAACGCATTATCTAAAAAAGGGCAAGTCAGTAGCGTGAACGATAAATATATTAAATCATATTGTGGCCTTATATACGTTGAATACTACTGTTAAAAACATAACACAGAAAATGCCAAAGACCTAACACATTGTTTGATTCTTAATCTTTCCAGGATTGAACTTGCCAAAGACTTAAGTCTGAATGAATAAGAAAAAAAAATCATTGGACGCTTAATTTAATTCACATTTAAAATTGGTCCAAGTTATTGTAACACCCTGTAGATATTTATTTAGGTGTGCTTGAGTTTAATCCTTTTATTTTTTTTATTTCTTTATTGTTTAAAAGAGGATTATCTAATAAAGAGCGAATTATATCATTTTTTAAATGAACGTTTTAACTTGGTTTAAATCTATATTACAAAGAGTCTCCAGGACGAATGAGGGTTTCATTCAGTGTAGTGGTCTTGAAGACAAGCTGAGTATACATCGCTGTCCACAAATGCCTAGCAATGTTAAATAAATATCTATAGCTACATGCACCCGATTATATATTAATAATATATTATGTTCACTAATGAGGGGCAGACAGAGATGAGAACTTCTGCTTTGCTGACATTTCTGACTAACACAATACGCTTCCAAAAGATAATTTTCACATAAACTTGTAAAAGTAACACTTGTTTGGCTTGTTTGATTTAAATGAATAGCTACATTCACTGTCATTATTAGATACGACTGACAGGTTTAACCTCGGAAGAAATATTTGAGTTATCATCCTCAGTGTGGAGCCCAGGCGATTTGGAATATAAAAAAAGGTAATCTACAAAACAAAGTATGTGTGGTTAGTATGTTGGCTGTACGAGTTACAGCTGCATAGTGTCACATTTTATTATGCAAGTCAAAGTTTTCACAATAAAATTAGTATTCATTTTAGAATATAATTATATTCATAAAAAGAGAAGGCAATATTTAAATAAATATTTCTGCCAAATAAAAAGAAAGAACTGCTGCAAATAATTCTAAAATGGAAATAGTATAAATAAATAGATGAAAGGCTTGTGAAGGTTATAGAAAGCCGAGGAGAGCAAATTAACGCATAAAATAATTTATTCCGGTATATAGGATATTGTGTTAATTAAAAATGTTTATTTGCCTTGTATCTTTTGGATTTATTCATAAATAATATTCGTAATATAAGATTATGTTGTATTCGTTTGTCTACGTGGTAAAACTCTCCAAAATAAGTTATCAACTAAAACTCACACGATATATTGTTCCTGTTAATATATTTTTTGAATTTGTTGAATATTTTACCAACATCGTTCGGTAATTACCAATGTTATTGTGAAAACGATTTTCATAATAAAATCTAACAAAGAGTACTGCTATTTGTCCAATTTTACCATCAACTCAACAGAAATTTCTACTAAATTACGATTCAATTTTTTTTTTTTGTGCAAGCATTTTTGCAATCCAGTAATATAAAGCAGGTAATGAAATGCCGACTATGGGAATGACCACCTTTCAGTCATATATGACCTCAAAATCAAACTACATAAATTAAAGTAAGCTAAAGTATCACCCAAATTGCAACACGACAGACTACTGAATGACACGTATTGCTAAGTGATGTATACTGACAGTCTTAAAATCAAATACAATGAATTAAATGAGAATGGAAAGTGACATACATAAGACATGCTTTAGTGGTATCAGCTAATGAGTTCATCTCAAGGAAAAGTAAATGAAGGAAAAAATGAGTGAAGGCCAGATAAAATTCTCTGTATAATGGAAAGGAACCAGCAATGATATGGTACAGAATATAGTATATTACACAAAGAAATTAGAAACAAATGCAGGCAGGAAAAACAGAAAAATGGCTCAATGAAAAGTATTCAGAAATAGAAAAAGAATTGGCATCATAGAAAAGGCAGATATTCAAACATTAAAATTGAAAGTAAACTCGACAAGCTGAGTTTAAATTCCGGCTTAGTCTGATGGTTTTACTTTTGCAATAATTCCCTTTGGTGCCTCCATGTGAGGTGATGTTTAATAAGCTATTCTGCTTAACCATTAACCATTATTACTGTGTGATGATTTTAATCCTCATTGGGTGCTCCATATTTGTGGCCTTGTACCAAACCTAAGAATTGTATTTTATTCGCTTCTCGACATTCTGGCCGAGATGAATGCGTGGTATCTATTCACCTTTTGATCAACGGAGAAGGTACCTGGTCTCCGGAACGCCCAAAAGTGAACCCTGGTGGAATTCTGGCACCATGGAGCCAGGCAATTTTGAGATTTGCCGATGGTAAGCACACGTTAAAAACGACCGTGTGTTATCATATTTGCAGGCAAAGAAAAATAAAAATGGAGTAGGTTTAATAGTAGATAATAACATAAAGAATTGTGTTTGTTCTGTTTTCGGGCAGAAATTTTAGTTTAGCCGAAAGAGGAATCTTTAAAATGTCAGTTATTGTATATACGCACCGACAGACAAAAACATGGCGGAAGAAATCCAGCTCACTAGATAACGCGCAGACTCAATGTAAATCACAGAAAATTTTGAGATGATGAAAAAGTGACAACACACTGCCAACGAATGGTACAAAGCACAACACACAGTAATTAGAAACAAATGAAAGTTATAACCTTACTCAACTTCAACCCCCTCAATCGATAATGTTTAACTAGTAGTATCATATATAATGCATAGATTAAATTTACAGGATTTCTCTCTATGATATATTTGTTCCGAGCAATGCAAATTTAAGCAGGGACATTGTAACCACATGATATATTTCATGCCGAGTTATTATCGCAATAGACCCGCCCTGTTTAAATACGTTCGGAAAATTTAAGAGAAAAAAGATGTCAGCGCAACTATAATGTCTTCAAAATATGATGCAGAGTTCGTTGTTTGTGATTCTGTAGCGTCAGTCTACAATGTCAGACGAAGAACTGTTTATTTCAAGACTCACAGTTTGCTTGAAACCATTTTTAACGATTCATCTAAGAAAACGGTTGTATGCCAATGGCAGTTTTGGTTTTTCTAAACAAATTGGACACCTGGTATGACACGCAAATGTGAATCTAGATTCGCTAAGGCTATTTAAGAACATGACTTGATTTCTTAGATTAAAAAAGGCAAGTTTACACAGTATGAACATTTTTAGATCGTACAAAGAACAGAAATTGACAATATTGTTCTTCCTAAGCCCCACCTAAATATTAAAGAAAAGATTAGGTAAATTTTCTTGGATGTGCACATGAAGAAAAATATATATTAGCTATATATTGCGGGTTTATAAATCATTGTTTTCTATTTGCATTTAAATAAGAACATTTCTGGTGCCATTTAAAATATAAATATATTAACCATTTGAAAACAAATTCCTATTTTGAGGTAATAATAAAAACAATTACGGATCTCTGTTTCATCTTTGTTTCTCAACCTTTTCCTCCTTGTGCCCGAATTTTGGTGCCAAAAATTTCAGGCACAAAGTTAAACAAAAATAGAAACTCAATGTAACAGGAAAAACAATTTATTTCTAAAAGCAAAATGTAGTCGAAAATATAAATGCTGACTAATGATTACGTGTCTATCTATCAGCTTATTAAGTTGAACTTTTCGCCATTGGTTCAACTTATGGCGTAAATCTCCTCTCTTTTCAATCTGCACTTCTAAGACCATTTAAACGGTAGAGAAAGAAATAGATAGCTGACTGGGTTTAGTAGAGTGAGACGGAGCCACATTTATGAATGATCCGGAAAATCGAGAGATTTCCCAATGGGAGATGTTCCCGAATATAAACTCCGAGGCCATGTATGTGGACACAAGAGTCCTTCCTAAGGAGAGGAAGATTGTCAGGAATCGAGAATTTAGAGGAGAGGGTAGATTATTATAGAAAGAAGGCTAAAACAATGATGCGATTTATCACCGGATCTTTTTTAACTTGTTTTTTAATCAATTCACCCAAACAAGACT